TAGCCTTAAAGACTTGTTGTTAAGATAAATGAAGTTTTAATTAAATGGTAAAATAATTAAAAGAGTTACAAAATTACAATTGTATTACTGCTCTTTAAAAGATGCATATGGTATTATATGCTACAAAGCTTTGATTAATAGCCTTATACCCTTTCTTGATAACCTGGTGGTGAGAGACACAGGACCAGCCTCGCCTTTGGCGGTTCAGGTTCCATAATTCTTGAGTGAGGTGCAAAGCTTAGAAGAAGCTAGAGCTAAGAGCTATCGAAGCTAACTTACAGTTTATTTAACCATTTTACCATTATCTATCTATTTAGGTGAAAGGTCCCACACATATGTGTGTGTGTGTTGACTTTGCTATCTGGATGAAAGGTCCCAGACGTGTGTGTGTGTGTGTGTGTGTGTGTTGACTTTGCTATCTGGATGAAAGGTTCCAGACAGAGATATGCTATCTTTGCCTTAGCTCAACATACAGGATATGGCCTGTAGGTCCCTTGCATTACAGTCGAACTTACTTTAGTATAAATTTATAAACCTATTACAATAAACCAAATACTTAAACTATAAGAAAAGATATATATATATATATATATATATATACACACACACACACACACAGTTGTTAGCTCATTAGGAACTTAGCAAGCATCAAAGTTGTTAAATCAAAAAGGCCCATGCATGCGCCCTCCATGCAACCTCATGCCCCATACTAAGGATATACAGGGCTGCGTGGGTGAACCCCCTTAGTTCCTTCTCTACCACAAAGTCCAGCAGAGGAAACTCCAAAGCAATGGGGAAGGAGGGTTCATGTGCACCTGAAGTGGAGCACCCATAGGGGGACACATCTCAAACATCAGTTACTATACAACGTGAGTAACCTCTCCTCCTTTGAGTAGTGTCCGTATGGGTGCTCCTCTGAAGGTGATCCAGAGCAGTATTCCTGAAGGGAGAAGTGATCTTTGGAATAAAGTCTAATACTGAAGACAAAACTGCATTGCCAACTGCAACATCAACTCTAGAGGCATGAACCAAAGCACAGTAGTTTGAGAAAGTATGTACTGAGGTCCAGGTTGCAGCTCTGCTAATTTCAGTAACTGGAACATTCTTGAGTAATGCCATGGAAGTAGATTGCAACCTTATAGAATGGGCTAAAATTCTACAAGGAGACTGAATGCTGAGTCATAACATGAAATGATACACCCAAAGATCCATCTTGGAAGTCTGGATGGAGATTGTTTCAATTGCAGAAAGATCTAAAGGATCCACAAAGAGTGTGTGACACTTCGAATGGTTTAGTTCTGTCCAAATAGAAGGCTAATACCCTTCTGACATCCAGGGTGTGGAAGGCAGCTTCTTTCCTTGTCTGATGCAGTTTCGGTGGGGGTAGGGGGAACAAAACAGGAGATGAATGGTCTGGTTGATGATATGAAATTCAGCCAACACGAGGTAAAAACATAGGATGTGGTCACAAGAAGACCTTTTCCTTGAAGAACACTGTAAATGGGGGGAGAGGGGATCTGCCATTAAAGCCCCCAGTTCTCCAACCCTCCTGGCAAGAGATCACCAAGAAAGCTATTTTCATTGATAGTTCAAGCAACGAACATATACTTAATGGTTCAAAGCAGTGTTTCATAAGGCATAAGCACAAGGTTCAAGTCCCATATAGGAGTATGATTTCTAATTTGTGGAAAAAGATTCATCAGACCTCAGCAAGCAATCTTGACACAGAGTGAGCAAAAACCAAAAAGCCTTCTACCAGTAAATGAAAGGCTGTCATAGTCACCAAGTGTACCTTGAAAGAACTTTCTTCCAGCAGGCAGCTGACCCACCCGGAAATATATCTGTACCTACTGTGGTCGGACCTGTGGTTCCAGAATCGGACTCCAGAGTCATCTCAGGGCCCATATGTAAATCTGTGGTAGAGATCATCCTTTAATTGAGGGATCGCCAATGAATGAATGACAGAACTAGTAAGAACTGATTTTTTAAAAATTTCAACAGGTAGTCTAGGACAGTGGAAAGAAGAGCAGGTACACCAGAGGTATATCTCCTTCCCTTCTGAAGTTAAGTATGTCACATGGACTCCTTTCTACTGTGTAACAGCACATGTTGAACAGGACATGTCTAACTCCAAGAACCATCAAGGAGCCATGCCTGGAGCCACAGAACTTCCAGCTTGGGATGAAGGGTCTGACCAGCATCCTGCAATAACAGATGGGAACTGATTGGAAGTTGCCACAGTGGGCGAGAAGTAAATCAAATGAGACAAGGATAACAAACTTGTCTTGGCCAAGTTGGTGCAGTCAAAATGACCTTGTGCTTGTCCTGCTTGATCTTGTTGAGAACTTTCAAGAACAAAGTTCATCCGAAGAAGTGGGTTGTGGCCCACGAAAGCTTATGCTCTAATAAATTTGTTAGTCTTTAAGGTGCCACAAGTACTCCTGTTCTTTTTTCAAGAACAACGACACTGGTGGATAAGCATAAAGAAAGCCTTTTGTCCATGAAATAAGGAAGGCATCTAGAGACTGAGGATCAAGACCCACTCTTGAGCAAAACTTCTTTCACTTTGCTTTGGTTGCATTGGCAAGAAGTTCAACTTCTGGAAATCCCCAGGTTAGAAATATGCTGTTGAGGACTCAAAAATCCAATTCCCACTCATAATTCTGGGAGAGGTGCCTGTTGAGATCGTCAGCCATGGTGTTCTATATACCCAGAAGATAAGAAGCTGAGAAGAATATCTGGGTGGCCGCACACCAACTGCAGAGTTTTATTACTTCAGCACAGAGTGAGGAGGAGTGTGCTCCACCCTGATGATTGATGTAGAACATGCAGGCCACATTGCCATGATCTTGATGGATTTGGCTTGGATCAATGGCAGAAGTGGAAGCAAGCTGACTTCCCTCAACTCCAGAATGTTGATATGCAGAAGACTCTTGTGAAGACATTTGCCCTGGATGATGTGAGTGCCAACATGCTCTCCCCATCCCAAAAGGGATGAGTCTGAAATGATGATGGCAGTTGGAGGAGCTTGAAAGAAGAGAATTCTGCACAGACTTTGAAGGTGTTCTTCCACCAACTGAGCAAGTCCAGAACCCAATGGGGAATGGAGACCTGTCTGTTGAGACTGCTTATTGGTCTGTAGACTGTCCTGAGCCATCCCTGGAAACACTGGAGAGGTAATTTGGCATGCTGGGTCATGAATACACATGCTGCCATATGACCCGACAGCTGAAGACAGTTCCTTGATGAAATTTTAGCAATAAGATTCTGTAGAGTCACAAACCTGTCCACAGCTATAGCAACCTTTAGAGAGGCTCCTATGAAATCTGTTGAACCTGGATCAAAACGATTTTTTTGAGACTGATCTGGAGGCCGTAAATGTGAAGCAAGGACTTTGTCATTTGTATGGCCAATAGAACCTCCTGATTGTCTACTCGGGCTGATTCCTATCGAGATAAGAGAAGACGGTTATGCCTAAAGGACATAGAGGAGCAGCCACAACTGCCAGGGCCTTTGAGAATACCCTGGGTGCACAGGAGAGGCTAGAAGGGAGCATGCTGTATTGGACGCAGTTGTGGTTGACTGTAAATCAAAGGAACCTATTGTGAGAGGGGTGAATTGCAATGTGGAAATATGTGTCCTGAAGGTCGAGATATGCAAACCCATCCCTGGAATCTAGAGAGGGAGTTATACCTGCAATGATCACCATCTTGAATTTCTGTTGTTTCTGCTAATATTGGCCTTCATCCCCCATTCTTTTGAGGGACAAGAAAGTACTTGGAATAAAACCCTTTCCCCCCTGTGCTGAAGTGGAACTGGTTCTACGGCTCCTATGCATAGGAAAGAAGCAACTTCCTGACTCAGGAACTGATCATGAGATGGGTCTGTGAAGAGGGATGGGGAAGGAGGGCGGGAGGGAGGGATGGACATGACATTGATGGAATAACCCCAATGTTAAGACCTCCAGAACCCATATGTCAGATGTTCTGTTCTCCCATGCAGATTGAAATTGGGAGAGATGGTATCCAAAAGGGGCAAGGAGGATGGAATAATGCTGCAGTAAATCTCTGTGGAGCGAGTGGTTTAGACTCTTGACCAAGCCATCAAAACTGATGCTTGCATGACAGGGTAGCTGGGATGAAGTAGCTATGGCAGCAGCAGTCTTCTTTTTTGAGTATCCAGGGCTCTTGGCTGAGAGTTTAGGTGAACTACGGAAGCTAGAAAAATGAGCTGGGTGAGATATCTGATGTCTGAGACTAGCTAAACTTTTTGTTTGCAGGCGTATAGATCCCAGTGGATCTAAGAGTAGCCTTCAAGTCTTTCAAGGTGTGAAGGAAGTAGTTGGTAGACTCCAAAAAACAATATGTGACCATCCAAAGGAAGGTCCTCAAGGGTATTATCTACGGTACCTCCATAGGGAAGCCTGACAACTGGAGCTATGTTGCTCGTTGCATCATGATCACAGTGGAAATGGACCAGGCAGCAGTATCAGTTGCATCTACGGAGGCTTGCAATGATGTTCTCACTAAGAGCTGACCCTCCTGGCTGATGGTCTTGAATTGCTCACAATGCGCCTCTCATAGATATTCAGTAAAGGTGTTAAATTTATTGTCGTTCGAATAGTCATAGCTTGACATAAGTGCCTGATTGTTTGCTGAAGAGTAATCCTTACAACCGAAGAGGTCAAGCTTCTTCTGATCCTTATTGTAAGGAGATTTAGCACAGTGTTGGCTATCGCACTTATTAACCGCTTCCACTATCCAAGTTTGGTGAAGGATGAGAGAATTAAAAACTCAATCTCTGGCTGGGATGTAGCTTTTTTTTTTTTTT